CCCTCCTGGCTGCTGTTCCCCAGGCCTCCTGTACGTGGTGAGTGGGCAACTCCACAGGGTTAGGAAACACATCAGAGTGAGACAGAGGTGTTCCCTCCGGGCCCTGGGGCCCATGCACACAGCCCTCCCCTGTGGGGACCCAGGAGCATGCGTGGGGCAGAGGTGAGCACTGGCAGCAGCGGGAACTCTGGGGCCAGGAGTCCTCGGCTACCCAGGAGGCGGCCTGCTCCCAGCAGAGGGCTCCCTTCCCACAGGCACCAGCGGGCAGGCTCCGGCAGGAAGCCAAAAGCCAGCGGAACCCTCGGGTGTGTGGAGGGCTGGAGCTCGGCCCACCAGGTGTGGGCAGGGCAGAGACAAAAGAGGAAGGTAGGGATGTGCAGGATGACCCGGGCGAGTGATGCCCGTGGCCGAGGCCTGGACGGCAGGGCGGGGCAGAGGGACCCTGCTGGATGAGGAGACCCCGCAGCGGAGGGAAGCCCCATGGGCCAGGGAGAAGGCGGGGGTCCTGGACCTGTGCACCTGGCCCCCAGCTCTGACCAGGGGGCTGCGCGTCGCATGGACTCCACAGCATCCTCGGGCCGGGTGCTGGATGGCAGCCTCGGGGCCGGGGGAGATGCCCAGGGAGGCTGAGCTCAGGAGGTGCTGGTCCCGGGACCAGGCCGGGGGCAGGGAGAAGGCGCTCCCTCTTCTGTGCTGCCACCCGGCCCCAGGTCAGGCCCCTGGTCCCTCACTCTCCCAGGAGCCCCGACGGAGGGGGTGGAGGGGTGTGAAGCTCCTGTCAGCCCAGCTCTGCTCCTGACTGGCTGTGAGCCCTGCCAGCTGCCCCCTCCATGCCTGGTCTGTCCTTTCCCCCCGGGGGGTCTGGCCCCGCCCAGGCCACCTTGCCCAGTGGCTCGGGGACCACAGAAGCATCTCACTGTGTCCGCACCCCGGGGCATGGGGCTGAGGGTGGGAAAGCAAGGTGGGAGGAGGAAGGGCCGGTGGCCAGGCCGGGAATGGGGAGCCGGCCTTGGGCCCGGCAGGCTGATAAGCCCGCTGCCACCCAGGCAGCCCGGCTCCGGTGCCTCCTGCTGGAGCGATGCCAGCTCCCTGCTGCCCTCCCCGGGCCCCCCTCAATCTCTGCCCACCGCTGGCCCAGATTCAGCCCACGAACCTGAGTGTCCCCTCGGCGAGATTCCCCCGGGACGGTGCGAGGACCTGGCTGGTGTCGCGGGCGGGCGGGCGGCTCTGGGAGAATCCAGGCGGTGGCAGCTGGTCTCAATCTCCCCGCCTCTTGGACGGAGACACTCGATGGAACAGCCGAGCTGGAGCACGAAGTGAAGCGGCCCCAGAAGAGGGCTGGCCTTGCTGCCGTGCAGGTATCCCAGCCCTTCCGGGCCTTGCCCCCTCCCCCCAGGCTCCCCCACAGGCAGGGACACTCGGGGAGGGGGCTGTGACTCAGGGCCAGGTGGGCA